CGGATCTCAACTTGAGCTCCTTGTGCATGGCAGACGTGGACATCTGGACGATGAGGACCCCCCTTATTTGTTTCTATGCAGTGGAGTACCATCTCCCTCACCATGTAGCACGGCAGTTTGGTAGGCTGCAGCCTTCTTCGCCCGATGATTTCTCCACCGGTTGGCAGCTCCACAAGTACGTAACATGCAATATTTTGTTCGTTTCACATGAATGAATCATTGAGTAGGCCTTCATATTGCCGCTATGGTGTAAAATTTGCAAGTTCAGCAGACAAAAAAAAAAGAAGATCACCAACTGGCAGCTGGAGCACCAGCGCTACATTGATGAGTGGATGTTGATGGAGCAGAACAACATGGGCATCCATGCCGTCCATCGTGACAAGGCATTCGATGATTACCTTGTTTGGTTTAGTCAACGAACAAGGCTTCAATTGAGGCCCGCTTGGACGGAGCAAGACATTGCTGACATTGCGAGCGAGGATGAGGGCAACAACCCATATGACCAAGCTACCCGAGAAGGCAGGCAAGTTGAGATCGCCCCTGCATTAGCCAGAGCTGTAAGTGATACAACTATTTCCATCTCTGAGGTCTTTACTGTCATGGAGACTTAAATTCTTGTTTTTGTTGCATAGAGCACGGAGATAATGAGGACAGTGGCCGAGAAAGGAAGGGCATTGATGATTCCTATGGGCGATCCTGATGAGGCCTCCATGTTACGACAGCACATTCAGGTAATCTCCTCTCATTCAGTTGATGTTACATCTTTATATAGTTTTGCGACCAACCCCACTTACTAATAGTGCTTTCAAAATGCAGTGTGCCATGCATCGCCTCCGAAAGGTAGCTGCATGCCTTGGATGTAGACGTTCCACGGATGTGGCAGTCCCACAACAGCTTGGTGCTGGACCTTCTACTGCACATGTTGGAGGGACTTCATCTTCACATGGTGCACATGGTGGCAGGACTTCTTCTTCACATGGTGCAGGAACTAGTGCAGAGGGTGGTCAAGGACATGGTCATTATGATGATGAAGATGATGAAGGACAGGGAGAGTACTATGATCATGAGTATGATGAGATTGGCACGTCCCAGCTTGGAGATGCACCCCAAGGAACTCAAGGCCCTTCCGGTTCTAAACGTCCACAGAGGACGCTCAGACCAGTGGACAGGTACACTCCAGGTACCTATCCGTTTGGGAGGGGAAAGCGTTACGCTCGCCGTCCACGTTAAGGTACAAGGAGCGATAAAAGATCCAAAGACTTCATATGCTACATTTTGTGCATGGACTATGTATGCATTGGACCTTATGTAATGCACTATGTATGGACCTTGTACTATTTTTGGACTATGTTGGTTGATTGATGAAGCATATGTATGGACTATGTTGGATGTTGAACGTGTTGGACCTTATGTATGTATGGATGTTGAATGAATGTGTATGTCGGTGTGGTCATTTGTTATGTGAAATTCTGTGTATTCTGTGTATTATGTTTTTTGGTGAACCCCAAGCTCGGCGTATCCACCACGATATTTAATTTAAGATAAGCTATACTTTATTTCTGAAATGAAAATGTGATTGTCCTCATAACGATATTCCCCAAATGTGGAACGTCGCCATGTTTCATGCTTCCAGCTATCAAGAGAGGGCCTTCGTCGCAACTCACAAGAAAGAAGGGGTGTCATCATCCCCATCCTACATGTTACGATCAACCTCTGTTGGATCCACGGTGACATGGCAAGCACGTAAAGGGGACAAAGCGGCTTAGGAGAGTCAGGGAGCTAGCGAGCTCAGGTCCGTTGTTGGCACAAGGTCATCGTCGGCTGATTAGAGTAGTGGGCAATAGTGAAGCAAATCAAAGAAGAGAACACCCAGGATCTCAGCGTCAATTGAACACACGCCGAGTGTGGGCACCTCGGCGTTTAGTCATTTGACGCCGACGTCTGGTGCATACTGGATTCCTTTGCCTCGAAGCGCCGAGGTGCCCAACCTCGGCGTTTAGTCATTTGACGCCGACGTCTGGTGCATACTGGATTCCTTTGCCTCGAAGCACCGAGATGCCCAACCTCGGCGTGCCGTAAATTGACGCCGAGCCGTTAACCTCGGCGTGGTCCGACTAAGCGCCGAGTTTCGGCCCAAACCTCATGCCGGCCGTTGTGATCCCTAGGGTTGGCGTGGGCCGACTCGACGCCGAGCCTCAGCCCGCAAACGGCCGAGCCAAACCCTAGGGTTAGCGTGGGCCGACTCAACGTTGAGCCTTCTATCTCAGCGTCGTCCGACTTGACGCCAAGCCTATTAATCATAAAATAGAAAGAATAAAGTATTAAAGACCTTGTAAACCTTTGGTTTGCAATCCTATTTGCATGATTCAAATGAAAAATCTTTCTCAACGATTCCTCTTGTACTAACACGAGTTATACTAATAAGAGTAGATATGCTATATTTATGTTTATTCCTGCAGGAAAAACCGAATGTTGGTTCGATTTCAATCCCCTATTTTTAGAGAGTCAAATCTTTTTTTCAGTTTGGGAATCAACCATAGTACATGAAACTTAGAGGTAGGTAAACTGCAATTTATGAAATAGCGAATGCACAACGATTACACTCACATCAAAACTAACAATGGCATGTCGCAAACTAAACCTAGCTTTCCTTAGGGGATTGAAAGAAACAAGTGATACATACATTGAAAAGGTTACACACTCACGTGAAAACTAACAATGGCATGTTGCAAACTAAACCTAGCATGCCTTAGGAGATTGAAAAGAACAACTCATACATAAGCATTCCACATTCGGATTGACTAACAAAGGTTGGTCCTAATAATGCTCCCACATATTGAACTGAGTTGCACCTTCCCCATAGTATCCTCTAGTTGACGGAGGCGGTGGCGGTGGCGGTGGAGAAGGAGGCCCATCCTTCTTATGGTACGGGCACTCGTAGTACGGATTATTGCATAGTGCCTCCTCTGCATCATTGCTATTGTCGTCGTCCGACTTGTCCCTGTTACCACTTCTAGGGCCATACTCTAGGTCAAAGATGCGTCCCTGTAGATATGTGATGTACTGTTGATGGGGATAGATAGGAGGAGGGTCGACCCATCTAGTGAAGCCACAGTTATCTGGATAGCTTGAATCCTGAAAACCCATCTACCAATAAGTACTACTAGAAATCAAATGCAAATCTAAAAAAGGAGAGAGTTCAAAGGAAATACAAATCCTCGTGGGCATCTGAAGAAACGACGGCCTCCACCGTCACAGTCGTTGTACATCTGCACAACGCAATCCAAACCGTGGCGGCATTTTGGCCAATCTTCAATGCGCTTGTCGTATGATCTAAGAGGTCTCTCACGGGTGAAGTCACTCTTCCTCTCCAAAGGAAATTCCTCTATTGGTTCTTCAAAAGAATCAGGACCTAGAGAACCCTCCGACACAATCGGAGGTCCCTTCCTCACCACCTTTCCTCTCCCTCCGCCGAAACCCTTTCCACTCGAGGAACCTCCGCTCGACATTTCCTAAAACTAAACCAGAAAACAAGTTGTGTGGATGTGGAGCAAGACATGGACCACTATATATAGAGATGAAGGCAGGTTCACCATGAATGCTACTTGACAAAAAACTTGTGTGCGTACTCATTTATTGAATTTGCAAAGGCTAGATGCTTCATCTGAAAAGCCTACAACCATGACCGGTCATTTCATCTGAAAAGGCTACACATGTGTTTTGTCACTTCATCTAAATGCAGTACATCACTCTGATATTAATTCACTACGTATACGGATACAATAGTAAACGAATCTAGACTTTTCAGTGAGTTTTCAAATAGACTTTCCATTGACTGCAACAGTACTTGTAGCCCTTTCAGTGACTGCAACAGCACAAGTAGTCTTTTCAGTGATACAAACAGTAGCACTACAGTCTTAGGATAGTTAACGAAGTACAGGGCATAAGACCATCTGAAATAAAAGCATAGTTCATTACAACATAATAAAAAAATTCCAGGGAATAAGTTCATCTGAAATAAAAGCAGAGTGCATTACAACATAGTAAAAAAAGTCCAGGGCTACACGACATCGTTCGTGAATAAACCAAATACCTACTAAGTGCAACGAGGTCACTTTCCCTTCCTCTGGGCATCGGGATTCTCCTCCATCGCTGCCTTCGCTCGGCGCACACGCTCAAGCTTCTTCTCCCTCTCCGCCCTGTACGCAGCAACACGTCTCCTTTCCTCCTCTTCCTTATGCTCCTTTTCTATAGCCTCCTGTCTACGTCTCTGCTCAAACCTCTCCTTAACCTCGGCATCCCACTCCTTCAGGCCTTCTAGATGCTGCTTGTTCGACTCCTTGATCTCAGTGTCAATCCACTACTCAAAGTCACACAGTGGTGGAACGGTCTACAAGAAAAACAAATTGTTACAAAACAAATAAATAAGCAATACTTAATATCACAAGAAAATTAATTAACACACAATAAAAATTCCTCACAAACGATGCACGGCGCTGTTGCTTTGTAGGTTCCCATGCATAATTAGGACACATCCAGTACCTCTGTCTATATGTTTCCTCATCTTCAGAGATGTCTACCTTGCAAGGATCACCACAAAAGCACATTGGTCGAGGAACACCTTCAGAGACAGGCTTTAGGTCGTAGGGATTTGCCCTCTGGCGACCATAGCTACAATTAAAAAAATTTAGTCATATTAACGGAGAACCAAACCTAAACCTAGGGTTTTCTATTTGTTGCATAAATAATGAATAAACATTGGGATTACCTTAGAATACGAGCTTTACCACGCCTTGGCATCCTAACATTACGTAGAAAAAAAAATCAATCCAAAGTACCTTGCAACGAATGTAAAGCTATTAACACTAAATCACCATACCTCCCAAATAAGCTTTTCATTACAAACCCTAAGCAAATTTGAATCCCAACAAACACAAAATTTAACTCAATGATTATAAACCAGAACATATACAACAACAACAACCATACATTTAGGTCATTCAATCATTTGAACCACCATACATTGCACGAATGACATGAACATGAACCAAACCTATAATGCCAAGTTCAAAAACAACCGAATCTAAATGGATGAAATGAAAGAGGGAAAAGAGGAGTATCTTGGCAAAACGCCTTGGTCATAAAAAATTGAAATGTAATGACCAACAAATAAATAAAATACATACTAACCCTAATGACCAACAAATAACTAACCCTAATGACATCTACAATAAACAAAGAACCCTAATGACCAAAATAACTAGAAACCAAACTAACCTAACATGTTCAGCATATAAAACAGTTAAACAACAATGCACTCAATCATTCTAAGCCATACATTTTGCAAATGCAAACACAAATATACCAAAACACTATACACCCATGATTCCACATGATTAGGGACAATGCAAGTACATCTACGCGGATAGATTGGAGGAGGGGAGGGACCATTACCTCGAGAAAGCTTCGGGAGACAAGATCCGGACACCTAGAGTCGCATTTGGGGGTTAGAGTTTCGTGGGGGCCGTGGGGGATTTGGGGGCCGGCGGTCTTCAGAATGGAGGGAGGAAGAAGAAGGGGGCCTCGACGCGGCCTCAAGGGACCGGACCTCGGCGTTGAGTCGGGCCACGCCGAGGTCTGGAAGCTCGGCGTTAAGTGACCCAACGCCGAGCTACTGGGCCACCGTGCGTTGTTGGGCCGCCTGGGCCGCTCGCCGGATGGTGCCAATAGCTCGGCGCGCCGTCCAGCCGCGTCGAGGTTGGGCCCTTGGCGTTGGATGACACGACGCCGAAGTCTTGGACCCACGCGCCACCGTGTCGCCGACGACCCCGGTCGTCCGTGACGTGGCAATACCTCGGCGTCGTGTTACTCGACGCCGACCCCCATACCTCGGCGTCATGTTCTAAGACGCCTAAAAATGATCTATTTTCAGAAAATGTTTTGGCGTGGGTACTTTTCTAAAAATTGTTTTCAAAAGAGACCAAAATACAAAAATTTCACTGGCTGGTGACTCCTTGAGGTCGTCCGACCATTCCGTGGCGCTCTTATCTTTGACCGACACCTCAGAGATGGCGGCGTTGGCGACAAGGACTAGGCGGTTGAAACTAGAGCCCTTGCCGACCGTCCAGGTCAGTAGGGTGCCGCACGATCCAACAGCCAACAATGCTGCTAGCGCGGCCATGGCGAGCAGGAAGGAGGACGAGGAGGCCATTGGTGACCTAACAAGCTAGTAGGCGTAACTTTCCTTATTTCTTGATCGATCGAGAGGGCAGGAGGGAGGGATGTGTGTGGTGATTGTTGTTGCGGGTTGCAGCAGCTGCCTGCGTATTTATGGGTGGCGTAGGCAAGAAAATTAGGCATGGACGTACGACTCCCCACCAAGATCTCTGGCCGGCTTGTTTGTTGCCGAAAACTTGTTCAATTGCCACAAATAGATCCGTGCTACGTACTCCGTGTTGTCTCGGTGTTAGGCAAAAGAAGTGCAGGGCATGAAGACCTCTCATAAAGCATGGGGCATGCAACCCTTAACTTTTCTCTAGTACTATTTTTAGTAAAATACAGCAAAGTCACACCGTGACCTACTTAAACAAATTCAGTACTCTTTATTATACCTTAATATATAAGAGGATACATATTCAAAATTTGTTATCTTTGACCAACATTATTAGTCTAATCTCTACTGTAAGTATTCCGGACCAAACAGTGAGCAGCAGATAAGGCCACGTAACTAGTTAATCCACTAACCCTTGGATCTAGTAAAAACATGATATGGACCGTTCGACCGGGGTAATAGACTCATAGTGGGTCTCTTAGCCATGAACCCAGGCCCTTGCAAACTGTGAACTCTCGACTTTGTGACCCTTCTCCTCCCCATATGGTGGCACGACCCATCCCGCACGTGGCCACGCCTTGCTGAAATTGATCTGTTCTCATTCGCAAGCGCCTCATCTTTGACCAATTATGGGCTCACATTATCTAGACATTGTCCACAACATGTCAGTTTGTTGTAACATGCCCACATGTGAACTGAGGTCGTGTAATGACGTTTCATCCCAAGCAACATTCACCAAGCTCCAAGGTTGGAAGAGAACTACTGGCTCCAAGATCATGCTCTACTCGACTTGCTCAACAATCAACCTTGTGTCCGATCATGTAGATGGTGATGACACTTTGTGAATGATATTCAGGAGATGGGCAGTCGCCAGGAGAGACCGGTTCTAGTCCAACGACGGGAATGGAAGCCACCTGCACAAGGGTATCTGAAGATTAATATTGATGGCTCTTTCGTATAGGAGACAAAGGCTGGGGTGTGGGGCTTCGTGGTGAGAGACCATGAAGGTCAGCCGATCCTAGCTGGTGCCGGACGCCTAGACACAACCCACGACGCGCTTATGGCAGAAACGATGGCCTGTCAGCAGGCTCTGGAGTCTGGAGGCAGCTGAACACTTTGGCATTTCTCAGATAGAGCTAGCAGAGACTGATTCGTACCAACTGAAGGAAGCTTTCACAACACCTGCAAGCGATCTAGCGCTTGGTGGGAACCTCTTCAAGACCTTCGTGCTCTTCTCCTTGATCATTTTAATTGTCCCAAAATTTGTAACATTCCGGTCCTGCAACTCGTCTGCGCACGAGCTTGCAAAGAGAGGGATGAGGTTGGGACCCAGGTCAATCATGTCTGGACGGACCCCCTCTCGGAATTTGTAAAAAAAAAATTTAGAATTACACGGTACAACGTAGATGCCCACAATACGCACGCACACTCACCCCTATGAATATACGTACATAAACCCTACCTCTATATAAGCACCTCCGAAAGACTGAGCAGGATAATCTCGAGATTCACAAAGTCACTATAGGCGTCTCGTTGTCCACGGGGACATCGCCTACGACTGAAAGCATATCGCCGTTAAATCTTAGAGTAAATCCAAAAAAAAATATGAACACCCGTGCCAAGTCGGCCTACTGATAAGTCTTATAGCCGAGCTGAGTATTGAAAAAGAATAGTTTAAATATTACTTCTACTTGACAAAGCTAGCTCTAGTCTAGCAGTGAGAGAGCTTTGCAAAACAGACTCATCGATCTAATTTTATGCTTGGTGGAGTGCGTGGATAAATAAATTAGTTGTAGCAACGACATTGGACAGTAGTACTGATGGATACCACATATATGTAATTATCATTCATAGCATTACGGCCCATAATATTTCATATTGTGGTAATTTGGCTTTTGGCCCTGCCAGCTGCTGGCTTTTACATACAATATATAATGCAGCACCGTTGCTACATGTGTAGTATATAGTAAGAAGTGTACGTCGCCGCATGCAGCAGATAATTAAGCGGCAGATCAATCAACCCTTATATATATCATCACACGACTGGGTATGCGAGGTCGAGCGCGATGCCGCACAGTCCCCCGCGCGTGACGTCGCGGCGCATCCGCAGGTACCCGCGCTCGCCCCAGCTCTGCCCCCACGAGTTCTTGACGAGCCAGTACTTGAGCCCCGAGGAGGAGTCGGCGCCGTAGCCGACGACGGTGATGGCGTGGTTCATCCGGGTGCCGCACTGCCCCGACCACACGCCGCCGCTGTAGAACTGCAGGCTGCCGCCCATCTCGATGGCCGCCGCCACGGGCTGCTGCGCCACCGCCTGCTGCAGCTGGCTCTCGCCCTGCGGCACCTGCACGTAGTTGGAGATCCTGGCGGCGTGGTTGGCGGCCTTGGAGCGGTTGCACTGGTACCGCCGCGCCTGGTACGGGTAGTTGGCCTCGGAGGTCAGCCCGCCGTTCTGGATCACCCACTTGTAGCCGTTCACGAAGTAGCCCAGGTTGCAGCCGCCGTCGTAGGGGTCGCAGTCGATCAGCTCCTGCTCCGACAGCGACAACAGCTTCCCTGTCTTGATCTGGGTGATGCCCTCGATCGTTGCCGCCGTCACGAATGCCCAGCAGCTAGCTGTAGGCGCAGCGTGCAGCAGGTCAAAATAAAAGGACAATGATAGTTAGATGTATATTTATCATATATATATACGCACAGCACGATGGGCCCTGGTTCTTGATCGGCGTGACGGCGCCCTTGGACCTCCAGTCGACGCTGGTCGGAGCGTCCACGGCGGCGGCGGGGGAGGAGAAGTTGGCCTGCTTCTTGCCGGCGTCACGGCGGACGGGCGGCATCCCCTTCATGGTGTACAGGTCCAGGAACTCCTCCTCCGTGAGGTCGGCGAACTGGTTCTCTCCCAGCGTGTACGTCAGGTTGCCCGCCTGGTTGGTGGCCTCGATGTGCTCCATGTTGCGCCGGTACACCTGGAACCGCCGCTGCCTCTCCTCCGGCGTCGGGTACGACCGGTTGTACGTCGCCTGCCAGCGGAGGAACCGGTCCATCATCAGCTTGTCACCACCGACGACGCCGTCGTCGGCCACGCCGCCGCCCGACGCCGACGCCGACACCGCCAGCATGAGGCTGCAGCACGCGACAAGGACCAGCGCGAAGAACCCTCTTGAGAGAGCCATGATCGTTCTGTGATCCCTCTCGTGCTTCGCTCTGCTTGCTTCAGCTTAAGCATGTGAATGCTTGTATATATAGCTAGCGCTGCTGGTGCATGCTAGCGTATGGCTTGTGCGGTGTGATCTCTCGTCGAAACGTCGGACGCAGCGACGATTATTCATGGAGCGAAACAGCCCGGTCTTTAGCTGCTGTCGGGTCAAGTGGCGACCTCTCTAGTCGGCCATCGGGCTAGAAACTTAGACATATATGCGTGCGCGCACAACGCGCCCGCTTAAGCACGCAAGGAGTATCTCGGAATGGCGCGCGACGAGCTGTATTTTCTCTCGCGGCAGCGTTTGTAGCGCTAAATATGTTGCTTTTACAACAAATGAATTTGTTAGGACTCCTTGCCGTGCAACTCACTGTTTATGGCTTGCTTGTCTAGACATCAGTCCATGCTGTGAAGGAGTTTGTAGGGCGCTTTCAAGGAAATAGTCCATACTAAGCCACACCATGGGGTTAACAACGACAGTGCTGTCATGACCCTCGCTCCCTAGCTAGATTCACTAAGGATGCCTTGTTATACGCTCTTGACACACAACAAGGCACGAATCATTGGTCTGTGGAGACAGTCTGTGCAAATGAGTGGATACCATCGTCGTGGATCAATCGTTGGATCACCAAGTACTAGTTTAATAATGCTTAGTTTTCTCTCATTTTCCACTAACCTCTTGCCTACTCGGTTGGTGCTTGATGGAGAATTCTTCCCTAGACATGCCCTAACTATTTTTTTGTAAGATATGAAACTATGGTAATCTTTAATTATTTTAGTTAGCTTACCTTAGTATATTAGGGCCTATTTGACAGGGCTCCGACTCTTAAAAAAACAGCTCCAGAGCATGGGGAAGGAGGCGACGGGGAAAGAAACGAGAGAAAGATAGAGAGTGAACCGTTCATTTTCCATTAATCAGTGGCATGATGGATAATTTTAGTCAACTCTACCGATCCATGAGTTTTTAGAGTACCTTTTAGGTGCTCCATGGATTTGGTGGGTCTGAGAGCTAGATCTACGTTTTTGGCAGATCTGGATTTCGTGGAGCTAGGGCATTTGACTGAAAAAATTGGAAGCGGAGCTGTTTTTTAGGATTTGTAGCTACGTGGAGCTCTGCCAAACACCCCCTTAGGTGGAGATGTTGGCAAGTGTGTGGTAATGTTGCGGATGTAACTATAATAATCTGGCCCGTTAGTGTTTTGGTTTAGGCTAGTTGTGGCCTATGCATTGTTCTGATAGAATTAGTTCCACTTTGGTTATTTATTTACATAAATCAGGCTAGCTTATAATGCTTCTGTTTTTACACGTTGCACCTTTGGGTTTAACCTTTAATATGAAGCGAGAATAAAATGTAAGAGAATTGTGGGCCTGTTCCACACGATGAGCTGGGCCTTAATAAGATTTTGGTGCTACTAGAGCTACTCTCTATACAAGTGCATGTGTGTCAGCTCATGCAGGGACATGGCATGCTTATGGCACCGAGGGGAGATCTTGGGTACTCATCTGCCGTGAAAGTGGTAAGCTATTGAGGGTGTCAGCCTGAAGGACAGAATCTTATGCCATTAGTGTTCTGGTTTTGGCCTTTTCTGGCCCATGAGTTGTTCTGATGGAATTAGGTACACTTGGGTTGCCCCTTTGTTTTCAAGCATAGCATCCACTACTAAAAAACATTTTTAGGAGACAACCACCTTGATTTAAAGAGGTGGTCATCGAAAAGCATCCCTGTCTCCAAAAATATATAGAAATTTTCAAAGGTGGTCAACACATTTACGAAGACACCCAATAAACTACCGCCTACGAAAATAGATTAACATGAGCATGCCTCTGCTAAAAGAGGCCTAGATCATCTCGTCCCACCAAGCTTTAGTATATATTGGAGGGTTTCAGAAGCCAAACCACTCCTCTCCCTCCCCACGGTCGAGTAGGTGTGTGATGCAAGGAGGCGATGGGCCAAGTGAGGAACTAGTGGTGTAGAACCTAGAAGCAGCACGCTAGCCAATCTCGGCAGAAGAGGCGGCAGACCATGGAGCCATGGGGGTGAGAGCCCTTCATCCTCTCCCCCTTTCCTTTCTCAATCTCCATCACCCCATCAGCCTGTCCCAAATATAGTGGCGATGATGACAGGTTGGATCTAACAGAGGAGGCAACAAAGGAGGCAATGGTGCGGATCCGACGGATGAGGCCGCACGGTCCATGGTATGACAACAGATTTGGTGGTGGGCTCAGTACCAAGCTCAATGGTGGCCTTGTCGACCTTTTATGTTTTTTAATCATTTTTCAGAGGCAGACATGCAGTATCGCCTCCTTTATATGATTAACACGGATACTTAGTGTCAGAAAGAACTAGCTTCGACGATACCTAGCAGCTATTCGCATAAGACGAATCATATGGATAGCACACAAGACACAGGGATTATACTAGTTCAGGCATGTGGTGCCCTACGTCTAGTTGGGACTAGCTTCTTCTCTGTATTCGTATGCTCGATTACAGGGGCTGTTGCGTGTAGCTATGCGCTAGAATGTCAAATGTGGGATCCTGATCGAGAGGCCCCTACCCCTCCTTATATAGATCGGGGGGATTACAGTAAACCCAATTGGCTAACAGATGTGTTTCCTAGTTTGGTTACATGTAATGCGCAACAAAATGATTCTATCCTCTCACCAAGATATGATGGCGCTGGATGTCTTCGGAATGCCTTGATCTCCAAGCTAGTGAATTCATGTGGCCTTCATGGGCCTCATCCCTCATCGTCTTCTGCTCGGTAGTCAGGCATGTATGAATCGGCTATATGGGCGGTAAAGGTACCCCGGACCCATATATCCGACACTTAGACAGAGACAGGTTGGGTGCCGCCTATGAACATGTGTTTTGACTACATCTAATAATTGTTCTAGTAGTAGTGATATATAGATTAACCATTTAACACGACGCGAGAAAGAAGTGTAGGAGAAGTGCTATATGTTTGCGGGCATACTCACGAGGAGCTAGGTTGACGATCATTGAAGTGTAGGCTAAATTGTGGACTATGTTTTGTGCTTCGAATGCTATGCTAAATATATATGGATCTTTATTGTATTTTGCGTCTTTTGGGGTGCAACCATGGATTATACTCACTCTGTCCTGTAATACAGTGCATTATAGAAATTTTAAGACAAATTAAGGGAGAACATAAAAGACGCATGTACCCTCATTTTACTTTCTAATCAGACGCTATCATCAACAAATAAAAAGTATTTAATGCGAAATTGGTTTTTATCCTCTAAAATGCATTATATTTGAGGATAAATTTTTGAATGCTAGAATGCAGTATATTACAGGACGGAGGGAGTATGCTAGTTAAAGTGGTTTATGTCTGACCAAGTTAATTTCTAGTTTGAATGATATTCACATTTATGGATCCAAATCAATTTATTTAAAAATATATTTCATAATTAATCTAATGATATTTATTTCATATCATAAATATTAATATATTTTATCTATAATTGGACAAACCTAAGATATTAAAATACGATACTATGCTAGAATTATATTGTTTATAGTTTGAGGGAGTATGCGAGATCCTAATTCTTTTTTATTTCTCAGCTCAGTCCAATAACTCCACTTCGATATCTAGGCGTTCAGGCTTTGTTTTTTCCTCCACTACTGTGGCAATCGGATCGACAGGGCAGCAATGGCGTCATTGCGACTTGTGCAAAACAATGTCGGCCTGTATATTTGGATGCTAATTGCAGCAATTAGACCTTCTGTTTAGAATTATAGATTTTTATGAGTACTTAAATAAAGTTATAAAACTTGATATTTAACTATAGCAACACATGGATAGTATCAAACTAATAAAGTTATGGTATATTTACAAGTAAATATTTTTTTGCTTTGCAATAGGATAAAAAATCTATCAAAGTTGTATTTTAATTTGATAGAGATTTAATAGAACATTGTTATGTTATTGTCAACATTCAATTATACTATGGATGTCATGTTCATCATAAAATGAATTATAGCCTTTAAATTTTATATAAAGTGTAAAGTTAAAAACATGTCTCATATTTCACAAATACTAGAAGAATTCCTCGCGCGTTGCTGCGGGTATTACAACGAATTAGGATGGATTTGAATGTTAACCACTGAAAATTAGGAGTATACATATGTATGATGATGTTGATAATGTAGGTACATTTATGAACTTGTAATGTAAGTAAATAAATCACACAACAATTGTAGGAGATACATAAATCACAAAACAACATTGTTTAACTATATCGACATAATTCGCAAAAAAAAACTATATCGACATATATCAATGATAGATATATATTTTTTGAGAGGAACTCGATTTACAGATGCAACAACCGAATAGGTGTCTAGAACAAATGGTACCAATAGTCGATGTACAATGCAGGATTGCAGGCGCCGACGCCAGGCGATGCAGTGGAACAGTTTGGTTGCTTCTTGGGCAGGTTGTTGGCCGGTGTGGCGGCAATGTGGAGCAGCATAGAAACTCGAGTTGAGGTTGGCGACTTGGAGGAGCACCACGGCAGGCAGCAGGCGCGGCAGAGGATGCTAGCGCTTTGGAGCAGCATGCAGGAAGCGGCGGCGTTTTCTCTTCCATCGATAGTGTCAGGAAGGAAGCAGCGGCCTTTTATTTTCTTTTTTGAAAGTGGGTGGACCTGTTTCTATGTAGGCGCATTTATGGAGGAGGCAGCGGGACAGAACTTGTTAGTGGCGGTGTATGACGTTTTCTTCTGAGAGAATTTATTGACACCGAAAAAATGAGTCGTTTTTTTTGTTCTAAAATTTTCTTCGTTCTCTACTTGATACTTACTTCAACTTTCATCCTTAATTTGACACTATCGTCAAATCCGTTAGCTAACGGTGTTAACTGGCTGTTAAAAAGACGTTTTTACCCCTAGAAAAAAAGTGGCGAAGCAAATTTGAGAGGAAAAAAATTTGCTCCCGCCTCTGATGCATGCGCCCAGCTGCAAAAAAGCCGCGGGTTTTTTTTTCCTCTCAAATTTGCTTCGCCGCTTTTTTCTAGGGGTAAAAACGCCTTTTTAACAGCCAGTTAACACCATTAGCTAACGGATTTGACGGTAGTGTCAAATTAGAAATTAGGGATGAAAGTTGAAGTGAGTGTCAAATAGGGAACGAAGAAAATTTCAGGACCAAGAAAGAAACGACTCATTTTCCCAGTGTCAAATAAGAAATTCTCTCTTTTCTTTTCCTTCAGCTACGGAGTCGGAGGCAGCAAGTCAGGTGGCAGACGTGGGTGGACGATGAGTGGATGGATTTTGCTTTCAATGCAAATCGGACGGCTTATGTTAGTTGGTGATGTGGATTGTTGTGGGATCGGAGAAATCTCGTAGCGGGGTTTTGCTTTATAAGAGTTATAGATTTGATATCATTTTGCTTCCGTTGCAATGCACCGACATATTTGTTACTAGTAGTAAAAAAATGAAAACCACACAAGCACCACTGTCTAAAGAAAAGACACCCGTCACAACTCACAAGTGCATGTCAAAAAAAAGGGACGTGCTGGCGTCCGGACGTCCGAAGGGATAGGATTCCATCAGATAACCGTTTCCCACAAGCGCATGCACCCATTTGCTAATTCGCCCTGCCTGCATGCGCATCATGTCGTCGTCGCGTTCGTATGACTCGCTCGTAATCCGCCCCATCCGCCTCGACTCGACCTGCTCCCATATGAGCACCCTGTCCTATTGTGTCCCCCGACCGCCTGCCCCCAGCGCGCCGCGCGCCACGTCCATCGGCCACCGGCTCACCGTGTCCCATACCCCGGCGTCTCGTGCCATGCCACCATCACTCCCCCACGCCCCCTGACTCCCCGAATAGTATGAAACACGTGCAACATGAAACACTTATGCAACATACGTCTAAAATAAATGAAACATCTGGAACATACACTTGTAACATATGAGTGAAAATATATGCAACATCCAGATAGAATACTTAAAACTTGCAATATAAAAACACTTGCTGCAACGGAAGACTAGAAAAGATAAAACATATGGAACATACTATTGCAACAGATGTGTGAAACACATGCAACATCTAGATAAAAACGCTTGCAACATATGTTTGCAACAGATGAAATATTTTAAACAAACGCTTGCAACATGCCTCTAAAACACTTACAACATGTGCAACATCCCCAAACTACTTTCAACATCCATACGAAACAACTATAATATACCTCTGAAACGTCTAAAATACTTGAAATATATATTTGCAACATAGGAGAGAGGAACGCCTGTGCCAGTCAATTCCGGCCGTCGGGGTGGGAGTCGGCAACGAGCGGTGGCGCGCGAGCACCACTACCATCCAACACCACCGGCGCGCGAGCACCACCGCCACCAGCGCCACTAGCACCGGACTTCACTCGCCTGGGCAAGCAGTGCGCGCGACGAGAGGGGCGAAGCGAGCGGCGGCGGATAGGGCGCGCGGCCAGCGAGGGGAATGCGCGTCCGCGTCTAGACGGGGTAGCCACAAAGCGCTGCGGCAGGAGAGGAGGAAGCGAAAGGGATAAAGATGGGTGATTTTTTTAATAAAATCGCAGACAGAGCGAGCGGTAGGGGAAAAGCATAAGCAACAAGGCGGTGGCCCACCCGTCGTGTCCGACGATTTGGGCTCACGTCCAACGTAAGACGCGTAACATTACGGGAAAAAGGGGAAAAAAAGAGACTACTGGCCCGGAGCTGCTTCTTCCCTGGCGCCCGCCGGCTGGGGATCACAACTACTGGCCGCACAAGCACAACAGCCGGCCCATGTCAGCCCAAGAGGCCCAGCGCATGGAAAGCCTGGTGGGTAGCAGTCGCCCTTCGATCTCAGCGAAGGGTGCGATCTCATTTCATTGAATTCATTCTCCTGCGGCCCTGCCAGGCTGCTGCTGCTTTGTGTGTTCTCCGGTCCGGTCCGGTCCAGCCGTCCTCCTGTGGCCCTCGCGTCGCGTGCGCTCTCTCTGTCTTCAGCGGCGACGAGTGGGCGACTGCCGCCGCCGCCCTACGCCAGGTCTCCATCTTCTGGCCTTCGCCGGTGACCAGCTCCCACCAGGTGCGCCCATCCCCTCCTTCTCTTTCGTTCCTGCTGTGCGAAACCGAATACCCAAACCATAGCTTAATTTATTTGTAGTCGGATCTGATCTGATCCAATTTCAGGTCTAGTATGCATATATGATGCATCGATGCCTACAAACTTTTTGTCTACGAACCTTGTGCCCCAACATTAAACCCTTCTATGTGTACTAATGATTTGGTTTATGAAATGTTCTTCTCTTTTAATTTATGTAATGTATTTGCTGCCATCTGAACTTAATTGAAATTTAAAATGACATCACCCTTTCTTCTCGTGTTACCCTTTTATTACTGGATTTTGTACGGGGTCCCTTCCCCTTAGAAGATGTACTTTTTTCCCTTGAAGGAATAGCAGATGAAATTGTTAGAAATGCATACTTTTGGTTAATTGTGGGTCGGTTTTCCTTGCTGGTGGCTTATTCCATTCCTACTGTAACTATAATGTTCTCTAGTTTTTCTTGTTCTTGGTGAAGCATAAACTGATTTATTGTCTAGTGCATGTTCCCGACAATGGCACTATCCAGCTACTTAGTTTGGCTGAACTTAACAGTAGTCCACATCAGCCATGAGCTTGTCGAAGATCTTGTTGGCTTTAGAACTAGGGAGACTCAGCCATGAGCTTGTCGAAGATCTTGTTGGCTTTAGAACTAGGGAGACGAGGAAGAGGAGGTAGGGGTTGTCAATGATGGCTGACCCTCAAGCCATTTCAATTTAAATTTGAAAATAACATGACCTTGCATACCATTCTGCACCCAGTCATCTATAACCTTGTAAAGCCCATCGTAGGTGTAGACCTTTCTTGTATAGCTATTCTTTAACAAATGACCTCGAATAACTCGGACAGGATTATCATTGTCCCTGGTATTCTTCAATGCTAAATTTCCGCGTGTCAACTATTGAGAGCCAATTTGGTGATAGTTACAAAGTAAATAATTTCCTTCTTGACCAGTATAAATAATTTCAGCAGCCTTGTCTTGATCATCTCCAGATATCCCCGTGGCCCCGTTCGGCTTACCCAGAAATCGGCTTGTTCGGCTTATTTTTTCAGTTGGAACAGTATTTTTCTCTCACAACAATTCAGCCAGAACAGTGTTTTTCAGCTAGTTTCAGCCAAGATTCAGCAAGCCGAACGGGGCCAATGGGAAAGTTAAGTTCTCATACTCATTCTTTCCTTTGGTCTGACGTTTGAGGCCACCCTTAGCCTCAATCTCCTATCGCACTGGCCAAGTTACACCTCCAGATGTAAACAGACGAAAGAAAGGCGGAAAACTCATGACGTTTAAGTGCATCAACGTAGTGGATGTTCCGGGGGCTAGACACCTTCACATTGGTGTTGAGGCTGATGTTGCTTGAATCGCATATTGTCCATTGTGTGCAAACCGCTCCAAAACTCATTTAGTCTTTATATGAAGTTGTTCCACTATTCGGAATGAGTCTAGTACCCAACATGACAGTGTTACATATTGATCAATGTTTCTTCTAGGGAGATTAATGATAAATTCTTCCTTTGATTACAAACGAAAGCACCATGTCGTTATAGAGTGTGGCCCAAACATTAAGGATTGAAAGGTAGAGCTAGCTGTAGTTCTAACCATCTTGCATGGCAAGTTGTTAGCAGAATTAGGGAGTTGAGCCACTGTTTGATAGTGTCCAGCATTTGTACCGATGCCGTACATGATAGTTATGCTTTTACTTTTCGCTTTTTGCTCCTTTTCTGTTGTCTTGATTTGCTTTGTTTTCTTCACCCTTTATTAGATGGCAAGCATTGCTTATTGAAGCATGGTCTTGTTTTGTTTTATTCTTTCTATTTCTCTTTTGCTTATAAATGTTCATTCATGACAAACATGGCAAGCAATCCATCTTTGTGCAATAACTTGAGGTCTATTTGGTATACGACAACAACTTACGTTAAATAAGATGCTATTATGTTGCCTTTTTTCAAAATAGTCATCTGTTTGGGCGCTCGATCAGGTCCAAAGCAGAAAAATCTTGAGTGTAGCTTTGCTGAAAAATTACAAGTAAAAGTAAAACACAAAACAATATATGCTTCAGGATATCTCACAATGTGCATTTTAGTTAGCCTGAGATGCATGCCCAAGGCTACATTTACTGCAAGTAGGATCCTGTCTCTCCCAAGACATGTTTATGGCAATAGTGCACTTTATAGATAACAAAACATGTATCTGTGATGCACGGAAATAGAGATCTGACTTGTATAAGTATGCCAGATAAGAGATAACGATGCAAGTATGAACCCCAGAGAATAGAATTTATGTTACCATTTGGCCTCAACCAAGGAATTTATGATGTGGATGGATGTTATGAAATCCTCTTGCTGTATGGCAGCTTTGTATATACAATATGGTCCACACGAACTCTTTCATGATTTACAGAGTCCTGTGGTATTTTTTTTATCTCATTTCTAAATTTGTATTTTGCAGGAAACATTTCCAGCGCAGGTACCCAAGTATGGCGGCAAGACGCAATGTTCGGTACTCACCTCTTCCTTCAGAGGATGGGGGCGACAACAATTTTACTAAAGAAGATGTTGACCTCCGATACACTTACACTCCAAAATCCTACAGAAGGATCCCATGGAAGTCAATTGCCCTGGCATTGTTCCTCCTCCTCCTAGGAACTTCACTTCTCTTTCTTTCTTACTTCATATTCACAGGTCACATGGAGGGTGATAGTTCTCAGCCATATGGTCTCTTGTTCCTGGGTTTCCTTTCCTTTCTTCCTGGTATGTTATTCTTACTGCTTTTATGCATTTATCTCCTCAGCATGAATGATTTTATTTTATTTTTTATTTTCACTGCCTTTTAGCTTCAAAAGTACTTATTGGTGTAGTTATTCTCCAGTTGCATCTCATGCATTCAGAGTGAAATTTATTGCCATATAAAATTGCATATAAAATAAGGCACTATGCATCATTGTTATGTAATCAATAGGTTTCATGGTCGCTTAAAACAATGCCAGTCTGCTGTTTGGAATCACAGTTTTTATTGTTGAAAGGAACTGTTCACACTTTGCTATGGTTGTGGAAAGTGAAAGCTTTACTTGTTTTTACATAATTGCAGGTTTCTACGAGACTCGAGTTGCTTACTATTCATGGCGGGGAGCACCAGGGTACACGTTTGCATCCATACCAGATTATTAGCCTTTCAGCTCACGCCACTGATGCAGTAAGGATAATTAACACGCAAGCAACTTGAAACTTTCCTTTGGAACCTATTTTAGTGATAAAGAGTTAGCATGTAGATGTAGTGGCCCAAATGATTGTTGTGTTTATAGGATGATATTACTTCATCGGTCAGTAAAAGAATAATCCTTATGCTATTGTAAAGAGCAAAGTTTGATTTTGCAATTGCTTGATATTTCCTTGTCAATATCACAGAAGTTAGTTCCACCAGACCAGTATGTGTTTATCTGATGATATCCGTTGATGAAGATACTATGTACGCCATTTGGGGCTCGGAGTATATGGCGCAAGTTGCGGTCGGTACTGTGGCTGCACCAGAACCCACTCCATGCCCTTTTTTAAGGAGTTGGGGTGCGTATTTCTGTCATGCTTAGAATGTTGTGGACAACTGGAATGAAGAGAGGCAGAGAGCATCTGATCGTGGTAGGAAGCTGAACGCGGAGAGAAGGGCCAATAATGGATCATGTAGTCCGGAATTCAAATGCAATATATCTGAGGTCTGAGCTATTCCATAGCAATGGCAAGGTTGTGGCTTGCTTGGTTGGACTTGACCTACCTTTCAACTCTATTATTACTCTAGTGACAACACCCCCAGAAAATACACCTCCTGTCGGTTAGCAAGCAAGAGGCCACGATTCGTTCTCTCTTTAACGAGCCAAAAATGTATCTTCAATTAATTGAAAGTTCTTTTGAAAACAGGCCACTGTTCCCATCAGTAGCATTTTGAACCACCAACAAATGCATTTGCCTATAATTATTATTACTCCCCTCCTATCCTTCTGGATAGGTTGGGATCAAACCTTTACATTGTGTTTGGTTTGCAGATTGTATTCATTCGGGCTGGTCCGGCACGAAGTCGTCCGATGTTTTTTGAGGAATGACTTTACTCGCCTGCGGAAACATCGTAAAGGAATGATTCTGCGACGGACGTGTCGGTGAGGTGATGAAAGGGCAAGCCCAACGTTCCAATATGTTAGCCTCGCCTAAAAGTCCCAGTCCTTGTAGACTTGAGATGATTTAAGGCTGTTATCTTCTCAACGCAGGCCACAGTTGCTGGTCCCATGAGCCACTGTTTCTCTGTCTGCCTGCATGCTACTTTTCCATCCTCTTGGCGTCACAGCAAAGTGCTTCTTTCCCACAACGCTACCTCCAACCAGTGCCTTGAACTTTTGTCAGATGAGGATATGGCATCCTCTGCAAGAGATTATTACAGTCTGCGAGGCTAACAATTGCGGTGATTTGGACCGCTGGATCTGACGTGGTCTCTGGGGCAGCACGCCAACCTGTCGCGTTGGGCATGCCCTAAACCAAACGTTTCTCCTAGGGTCGTATGTTCATGGCGTAAACTAATATGGCATGAGCTTTGATTGGTGCTCCCTCAATCCTAGTATATAAGGCACAACTAACTAGAACATAGAAGCCAAGAATAACATTTAACCCTGTTTGTGGAGCATCTAGGCTTCTGGCAGCTTTTCCTTCCCAGAAAGCTGGAAAAACCAGAAGTTCTCTCAAACATAGTTGTTTCTTTAAGCTGACAAAATGCTCAAAGCTACGCTTTATACTTAAAGCAGAGAAGCTCTCTCAGCCGAGCTTTTCGAAGAAACTTGTCCAGGTTGAAAAGGCTACAACTCCCCCAAACTGGACCTTCAGCCTGTTCGTTTCGGCTGAAACGATCGTGGATTATTACTGCTGGCTAGTTTGGTGTGAAAGAAAAATACTGTTCTGGCTTATAATCCACGATCGTTTACGACCAAGCGAACAGGCTAATACCTCCGCACTTATTGTGGTTGGACTCTTGGTTTTGCACCTAATTATAAGTGCCCACTTGCTTACATGCTTGTATGCACCCAACTACTTGCATGCCCATGGAGGGCGACTAAACAAAAATGTAATTATGCATGGAGGGAGTACTAATTAATTAGTTTGAATCTGAATTGCACCAGTCAAGATGCAGATAGGAGAAAATGATGAGGAAATTTAACATCCGACGTGCGTGCAGCAATAATCAACAATTTGGAGGGCACACTGCACGCACCTTCCTCGTTCCATTCCTTTGCTCCCAATAATGCAAGGTGGAAGAGAAGAGGATCGGAGGGACACCAAACCAAACCAAAGGGAGAAAAGTGCTACGCTATACATAGGCGTTGCTAATAATTCTAGCACACAAGCGGCGGTGGCGGTGCCGGTGCGGTGGCGCTCCCTCGATCGCCGATTCGCCATGCATGCATGGGCCCCATTATCTGACCGGCCGCTTCAATTCGATTCGTGCCACAGCTATTCCTCCCGCTAGCTAGCTACCGCCCTCCTCCGTCCTCCCCACCTCGACGGCCGGCGGCGGTTCGACATCGACCGTGCGGAAGGGAGAGGCGTGGCGTGGGGCTTCCATTGTGTTGCCTTTGCCTCATCAATGCGCAGATGCACGAACGCACGCACTTCGCCGTTGCTCCCAGCATTCAGAGGTTCCATTCCTCTGATCCCCTCTCATCATTTGCTTTATTTTTTAATATTCTTTTTGCTCATTGATTCATTCACTGCATCGGCTTGGTGGTGGTGTTTACATTTGATTCTGTATGTAGGGTTGCAAATTGATGAATCTAGGAGTATATATCGGTTCACCCAACATATTTTAGGGCTGGATTAGAGGATTTTCACAGGAATTTTATAGAAATCAAATTGTTTTTGTTTTGCTTATATCGCATGGTGCTTGGAACGGAGGAAAAAAGTTTTTCTTTCCTATATGGAAAGGCTTTCTTTCTTTCATGAAATGGAGGAAATAAAATGAAGCTCTTAAAAAAATCCTACATGTGAATGGATGGATGGACACGTCCTTATTCACTAGAATGGAGGAATAAACATGTTCTTATATTCCTATGTTCTAAACCAGGGCCGGAGCTCAGTTGAGGCCAACGTGGGCCGCGGCCACCCCTGGTCCACTAGATTTTCTATAGAACTAAAGCCACTCTGCAGTATTTTATAGATTTTTCCTCTTTGCTATAGCCTAATTAGTATCGTTATTGGCTCCTTTAGAATTTGGCTCAAGCTCCGCCACTGTTCCAAACACTCATTTCTATAAAACTCTTATGTTTTTCAATCATTTGTTTTCTACCTACTCATTTTCTATTCATGTGTTTTCCTCCTTTGCTTTGTTTTATATTCCTCCGTTCCAAACAGACTCTAGTGGTGTTTCAAAATAAGCACAATTTTTTTAGCTAAGCGTCATTTGCTTTTATTTTAAGTCAAATCATTTTAAATTTGATTAAAACTATATATCGAGATTTATGATACCAAATAAATATCATTTGACCCATCATAAAATATATTTTTAGTGTTATAAATGTTGATAATGTTCTCAATAAATTTAATTGAATGTAAGATATTGTTGATTTAGAATAAAACTAAAACATCACTCTTTGCGGGTGGGATATAGTACTGTTGATAGCGAGTTAAAGTGATTTGGCGTACATCACATCTTTATTAGGTTCTTCAATTCTTAACCCTACTTTGTTAGGTCATGAAAACCAACATCGTGTTTAGCTTGCTGACTGTTTCTTGCTTTCACTGTTTTTTAATGGTCGCTTAAGCTGGCTCCAAGGGCTAATTTGCATATTTCTAGTGTATATATGGATTTCAGCAAAAGAACAAAAGGAAAATATTTACATAATAAATTAATAATACCCACAAACAACCACTTTTTGGGGGAGACAAACAATGGACAGTTCTCTATTTTTCTTTGTGGGTGCCCATGTGTCAGCATTTGGTCCACTATTCTGACCTAATTAGAGACAAAAGATCATGCATATGCCCCGCATGTGCATAATTACAATAACCAAACGAAGATCTACGAACGTTAGGAGCAAGCACACGCTCGTAGATTATTATCTCCATCCCAACAGGCAACAGGTCTAACGACCACTCAGCTTTTTACTCGTTTCTACGAAGGACTAATATTTTGCGGCATATTTCTGTCATTATAAAACACATTATTAAAGTACTTAATAGTTGTCTGGAATAATACACCCAAATGTTGTATTCCTGAATACATGAATAATTTCTCTCAAAACAAAGATTAATATGCTGTACACAGAAAGGAAAAAGAATGCAGCAAGAGCAATTATTCTTAAATTGTTGCAAGCATGTATACCTCTATTATTTCCCTGATTCATTTGCCCAACATATAATTCATTTGTTCAGGTATCAATTCTTTCCAGCTCATTGCTGGCTGTCCGATTGATGATTCTCGAATATCTCCTTCTCTTTGACCTTGCAAATCTTTCAAAAAATGTAGATATACCTGCAAACTAAACACGGCATCCATTCATTGAATAGTATAGTATCCCCTACCGACAGTACAAGACAATCTGCTTAACCATATTTCTCTTCAACTGCAAAATCTTTCTTCATTATGCATACTGAACAAGAACCTTCCCTGAAGTTCAGAGTGGCCTAATTATTTGTCCAGGAATATTTGATATAATTAGAACAATTCCTATAACGCAGAATGCCAACCTACCAACGAGCACATGATCCATAAACTAGTACACCAATCATGAACCTAGAACACTATATAGCAGAGCAGCTGCAGGTTCCTCCAACGCCCCACCCTCTCCTTTGTAGGTCTTCTTTTTTCAACACCATTTGCGTTTCTTGGATTCAATCTGGTAATTCTCCATTCTGCTTATCCAGATTTCTTGGTACATTGCCCCCACATTTGTCTGTCTAGTTGAGAATATCATCTTTGGTGCAGGCAGATCTTTTCAAGCTCGCTTAAAACATACATCAAACAGAGTTTCTTGTGATTGCAGGTTAGGATTTCATTTGTACCTCCACACAGTGTAGAGTCTGAAGGTGAATTACATTAAAAGAGTACTGAAAAATACCAGAAACAGCAACCGCACACAAGTATCCACCATGGGTTCCTGTACTTCCAAGTCTGCCCTTGAGCATAGGAGGCCAGCGAG